TGCCCAGGAGCTGAGGTGGTCATTGATATGGTCAATGATGTACTTGAGGCAACCAGTCCATATACAAGAGGAGAAAAGATGAAACATGTGTCCTGTACTTCCACATAAATAATTATGACCTTCCCAAGGACTTCTAAGGCAAGTAAGCAATAATAACTCAATTTTACAAATGAGGAAAGTGACAGTCCCTGACCACAATTTATATAATCCTACTGTATTTATCATCTCTTTTAATAACCTGAAGTGCACAACTTGCCAACCCTAAAATGCATATAATACACTAAATTTGTCTCCATGAATCTGTATATTGATCATCCAGCTCAAGTCTCACCAAAGTTGCCATTATATAAAAAACAAGTGAAATCTCTTAATGATGCCAAATCCTGGCCATGTAGGTTGTGTAAGCTATTTATACACAGATATACACTTGGGAATGAGTGTGCGTATACCAAATTAGTTTGCCATTTCGGTGAGATCAAGGAGAACACACTAGTGTGTGCATTTTTACAATGAATGAATGGAGATCTTTAGACTCTTTCAGTAATTAACAAAGCTAGGAGGGGGAAAAAGGTTAAAAAAAAAAAAAGAGAGAAGACCTGAACAACATTTTCAACCACCTTCACCTAACTGACACCTACACAGCACATAGCCAACTACTATAGAATGCACATGCTTTTAAATGTACATGAGACATTCAACAAAACAGACCATATGCTAGACTATAAATAAGTCCTAAATAGATTAAAAAGGCTGAAATATTATAGATCATAATTTCTGAGAACAAAATTAAATTAGAAATCAGTCATAGTAAGATAACAGATAAGTCCCAAATATTTGGAAATAACCCATGGGTCAAAGAAAAAAATCATGGCAATTAGAAAATATTTTGAACTAAATGGTAATGAAATTACAATATAATATTATTTTGGTGATGCAGCTAAAGCAGTTTTCAAATAAAAATTTATGCCTTTAAAAGATAGTTCTCAAAAGTAGAAATGAAAGGTTTTAGATCACTAATCTTCTATCTGTGCGATGAGTGAAAATAATATGAAACCAAATCAGGTAGAAGTAAAGTGTAAAAGGAGAAATCAATAAAATAAAAAAGAACAAATAAAGAATATCAACAGAAACAAAAGTTGATACTTAGAAAAGATCCATAAAATTAATGAAGCTCTAGAGCTAGAATGACAAGAAGCAGAAGAAGAAGGAGGAGGAGGAGAAGAAACCTTTTATAGATCCTACAGACCTTAAAGATAAAAAGGTAATATTATGAACAATTTCATGGCAGAAATCTCATCAACTTAGATGACATAAATAAGTGCCTTGAAAAAATAGAAAAACAGGAAAAAAATTTAAGAGTTCTATATTTTACAAATAAATTGAATTAGTAATTAAAAGCCTTTCCACAAAAGCACAAAAGCCACAGATTAGAATATTTGTCTGATAAAAGATTACCCAACTCTACAAATGTCTGTTATAACTCAGTATGAGAGAAGACAATAAAATAGATTTAAACAGATACTTCATTAAAGAAACACCAATTGCCAAAAAGGACATGGGAAGATGCTCAACATCATTTGTCTGCAGATAAATGGAAAATAAAACCACAACAGGCGAAAGGATCAATAAACTGTGCCTCTTTATTCTATGGAATACTAATTATCAACAAAAAAACAGCACGGAGGAACCTCAAAAAAATCCATGCTTATTCCAAGACAGGCAGAAAATAATTTTCATCTACATGAAATTAGAAAAAGTAAACCGAATATATAAAAAAGTTGAACCAGAGAAAGCAGAAAGGTAGTGGCTGGGAGGTGAGAGAAAGGGGAATGGGGAGATGTTGGTCAATTATATGATGAATAAATTATGAGGAACTAATAATGTACAGCATGGTGTTAGCAGTTAATAATACTGTGCTGTATTCTGGAAATGCTATGAGAGAAGATCTTAACTGGTCACTGTGAAGTAACAGATGTGGTTAACTTAACTGTGATAATTTCACAATTTCTATGTATGTCAAACCATCATGTGTACAATTTTTGCAATCATGTGTCAATAAAACTAAAATAAAAATATAGTTTGAGGCAAAATTAACCCCAGTATCTGTCTGGGGACAGCGGGAGAGAGGTGGTTAATTGATGGTAGAGTATGAAAACAGGTGATAGGAAATCTTGATTGAGGTAGCAATTGTAAGTGTATACAGCTTCAAACTCAATCTGTACACTAAAATGAATGTGCTCCATTGTATGTTTAAAAAGGAATGGGGGGGGGGAAACCTCAAGCAGAGTTTTCTTTCTTCATGTCTTCAAAATAACTCCATTAGCATTTTAAAAAAATGTAGCTCAAATTGTATTTAAATCAGACCTAGGAGTTTCCATATTATTTCCCAGATCATCTGTAGAACACTAAATGTGAATTTATTCCCAGAAATTTTGATGGCCAATTAAATGTGGAAATGGTTCCTACCAGAGGTTCGCAATGCTTACTAGCATATTAAAACTTCCTTTACTCAGAATACCTATGAAAAGTGTCTCACAGAACAGTAAGGGAAATGCCAACTGCTCTAAGAATCTTACCTTAAATGACTGTCTGTACTCTATCAACCTAAAACACTGTCAATCTGGAAAAATAACACTCGAATAGCTACACTTGGACAGGCAACAAGCATCTCAAATGGTTTAGGTCCAAAACTGAACTCCTGATAATTCCAAGTCTGTTCCTACTAATATCATCTTCAACAAGGTAACAGCATTCTACCCTTCCAGTTGTTCAGGCTAAAAACCTTGACCTCCTTCTTGTTTCTAATATCCCATATTCCAGGGTGGGAACCTTTTTCCTGCCCAGGGCCATTTGAGTATTTATAACATCATTTGTGGGCCATACAAAATTATCAAATTAAAAATTAGCCTGCTATATTTGACCAAACATTTAATTAACTCACCCCAAATGCCTTGGCAGGGCCAGACCAAATGATTTCACAGGCCTGAGTCACTTTAAAAATGTACTTAGCATACGACCACGCTTCACACCTTTACCACTATGGCTACCTTGGTTCCACTCATTATCATCTGTCATCTGGATTAATGAACAGTCCAGAAATTGGCAAGCTTTTTAAAGAGCCAGACAGTAGATGGCTTTTCTGGGCATATGGTCTGTGGTGCAGTTACGCGGCTCCTCCATGGAAACGCAAACGCAGCCACAGACAATGTGTGCATGAAAAGCATGGCTGTGTTTCAGTATCATTTGTTAATGAACAATGGAATTTGAATTTCAAATAAAGTGCCATTTTTCTTTAAAATATAAATTGTATGAGTTTTTAAAAAAGCTTCAGTACATCATTTAATATTCAAAGACAAATAATTTTAAAACCAAAATGGTCCTTAGAGGACATTTGCTCCAATTCTCATTTTATAAATAAGAAAACAGAGAGAAGTTTACTTACTTCCTGAAAGACACATAATAGTTAGTAACAGGTTTCTAATTGAATGTTCTTTCCCACGTTAATAATATTTAGAATTAAAGTAGCTTACAGCATAATTAGAATAATATATTAGGGTGGTCTACTTAATACATTAGGTGAAATCATTTGTTTAGTATATGATATGAGCTATTTTCATTTATATGTAGCAAAAAAAGGCCTAATGTTAAGTAAGTTGTTCTGATCATAGGAGTAATAGATAAAAGAAGAAAAATTATATGGCATAAGTGTACAATTACAGATTTTAGTTTATATTCCTTATAAAACCTATCAAACAGAATTTACATGGAATTCTTTTCTTTCAAGGAGATAATTTTGTCAAGTAAATAGAAATGTTTATGTTTTGTAAGTTTACTTGTAGAAGAAACTACCTGGGGAATAGAGAACAGCCAGCATTCCACTCATTCATGTAAATGTCAACTAATTTCTGTTGGATAGACTACTAACATTATTCCTAGTTTTTTCAATAGCAAGTTAGGGTCCACATTTCCATATATTTTACTAACGTAAAAAATTCTAATAACGTCTTAGAAAACCAATAACGTATCTTTTATTTTCCATTGAAGAAGATGATACTCTGGTAACTCAGTATCATTGCTAAAGTGACTACAGGCCCATGGACACAGATGACAATCTGGTGAAGGCCTAGGAGGGGTGGGTGCAGGAGGAGGGAGTGTGGAGGGGGAGGAAACAGAAAAACAAAAGGGAAATCTATAATACTTTCAACAATAAAGATAAATAAAAAATTTAAAAGAGTATAGGGTGGTGAATGCTTGGGGTGGGGGCCGGGGGTGGGCTAGAAATGGCCCAATGGGGGAAAAGAGGGACATATGTAATACTTTCAGCAATAAAGATTTTTTAGAAATTATAAAGCTACTGTAGGTTTCTGGAACAACGAGGAAATGACAAAAGGGAGGAGGCAGTAGAGAGAACCAGACGGGGCCAGTGAGGAGGACAGGGTCCCAGGGAGGGTGAGGACACAAAGGTGCCTGGCACACTGGAAGAGTGTGCTCTTCTTTTTCCACAAGCTATTCTGTCACAGGACGGACAACTCCTCCACGCAGACAATGCTGTGCCAGGAAGAGTGCTTGGAACCCACAGGCCCGTCCAATATGTGCCCCTACTCACACAGCTCACCCAACGTAAGTATCAGTTGTAGACTCTGTGCACTCATTACCTGCTTACAGAAAAGTTGTCCCACTAAAAAAAAGAAAGCTCTCATTTCCCTACTGATGTCTTACCCCATGACAGAGTGATACAAAAGCTAATAAAACTTTTGAAAAGTAGACCGCTGATTCACCTTGCTCCCTTCACAAACGAACAAACAGGCTTTTGCATTTACAGATCTGACTCGTGCCTATGTTGTCTACTGTATTATAGTAAAGGAGTTAATAATTTTTGTATTTTTATTTAAATAACACTTCTAACAATACCTGTTTATTACAATAATCTTACAACAATTTAAAATTAAACTGGAAAGGGGGTTGGAACCCAAATCTAAAACTCAGAAATGACTACTTACTGCAGGTACCAGTAATTTCTTCACTTCCTCAACGGCTCTCTTCAGCTTGATCTCCGCTCTGTTTTGAGCATCTTCCACAGTAATCAGTACGTGCAAGTCTTCGTTGAGGTGCTCCCAATTGGGCTTGCCTCTATTTTGCTCCTCCTAAAAAATGTACAAAGTAAAACATTACATGTTTCTTTTCAAGAAAGTAAGTATACTTTTCATAATACTAATCTGTTGGCAGTTATTTAAGATATGTTTACATTATTTTTCTATGATGACATTATAAATATTTTTAGTTATTTTCCTGGCAAAAAACCTGTGTGGAAGCCCAGTGGATCAATTGATAGTCAACAAACACTTGTTGAGCACCTATTCTGTACCATGGAGCCAGCTGCTTAGGATTCAACAGTGAGCAAGCCACCAGAACCCCTGTGTGCTCTTATGTGCACTAAGAAATTCATTTATGCTGTTAGCCTTCGGTTAATATGAAAAACATGTTGTTATTTCTATATTTTGCTTATAAGACCAGGTCACTGGGATAAATTTAAGTGAGTCATTGTCAAGGTCACATAGCTGGTAACTTGCCAATTTAGGAGCTCAAAGTTAGAAAAACACAAATTCAGAGAAGTTTTTACAATTACTTTTTAATAGCATTGACTGAATTCAAGATTAGGGAAAATGTTTTGCAAATAGACATTGTATAAGAGAAATGCCATTTGTTTTAAGTATTTCAAGTCGTATTTATGGAAATATTTCGTTATTACAGTAATAAACTCTGTTTCCATCATTAGCTTACTGGAAAAGCAGTGAGCTGTCAGGTTATTCCTCAGTGACACCCACCCACAAGTACTAGCTGGACAGAGAACATCAGTCTCCTTCCCTGGAGCTCCTCTCAGGAGGCCTCTTCTCCAGGCGGAAGCGCTGTGAGCTACACAGAGGCGCAGGGAGAGCTGCCACATTTCCCTTTCACCGAAGATACAACAATTCAGAACTGCTTCTTTATTACATTTCAGAGAAATATAAATACATGTATACATCATTTGTAATATATACATACAATTTTAATAAAAAAATATAAACGTATTTTAAATACAAAAATGGTATAAATAGATGGACCTGGCTTAGTGCAAGGTACCATATAAGCAATAACTAATTGCCTCTTGAAGGGTACTAAATTGTGAAATTGTAATCAAAGAAAATAAAACTGGTATAAATGAACACAACTGGTATAATGAAAGCAGCTGTTTATTACAACTCACATGTCTGCAGAGGCCATGCGAGAAAAAAAATCTATGTAGCTTAGTCAACAAGAACAGAAATAAATTGTAAAAATGAAATAATATGCTTCTGTCTTTACTTTCTGTTCATAACATTACTATGGAAATGCATCCCAAATGTTGTGTGGGGAATGAGAAACCAGACAAAACGCAGCAGCCATTGCAAGGCCATCAACATGACTCCAAAGAGTGAGCCCGGAGCCACCACAGTCGCTCACAGGCCTCACATGGGGGTATTTCACGGGCAACAGCAATACTCAATACCCCAGAACAAAGATCAAGAACACTTAGACACACAAATAATTGCCCCCAAAAGTAATATTCACACTATCTGGCACCTAATCAGAAATTAATAGGCAGACAAAGAAGCAGAAAATTAAAACATCTGATGAAAAAAAAATCAATCAAAACCAACCTCGAACACAGATGTTATAATTAATAGAAACAGAGACACTAATGCATAAAGATACTAACATAAAATGATGAGGAATATTCTTACATCAAAATATTTTAGAAAGGCCTAAAAATGAAAACTAAAATTATAAGTGACTTTCTACAAAACTTTTATACATGGGGCAGGCAGACAAAAGCTGGAGGATTTAAAAAGGGAAGGACTTACATAACAGGAACAGAACCGAGCTGCAGTATAACTTTACATTGTGCTTTATTAAAGGAATACATTTATGAGTTGTAGAACACCTAGGTAAATGTAAACTCAATTCAACAATTTAAGTGCCGATTAAAATACTTATCCTAACGCTTGCTTCAGAAGAAAAGTTTTATTAAAACTTTTCAACAGTTTTTAAAAGCTGTTGAAAGAACGAACACTTATAGACAAGACGGTGCGTCACTACATCCTTGCCCCCAAATAGCTGGTGGCCTAGCACTCCCTAGCTCCCAGCCAAACACTAGAAACACACTCCGGAACAGGTGCACTTTCTGGAACGAGGTGTGAAGGGCAGCCGATGAGGTCCTTTCTATACTGAAGTCTGAGGTGCCCTGTCTTCTCTGTTGCTCCACCCCCAGGGAAGGCTGCCAGCCCATAAGCTGGGGGCAGGTGATGGGAAGACTTTTCTGTGTGGAATGTAAACACACACACACACTCCCCACAGTAAGTACATAGTGCAGTAACTGAGAATAAATACCAAAGAATCTCTTCAAGAGTAGGAAGTTGGGGGGCAGGGGGCGGTTAGGCAGCAACGGGGGGGGGGGGGGGGGGGGGGGAATCATGTATTCCACATTAAGTCCTTACAGAATTTCCTATTTTTAAACTATAACCTTATCAGACTTCGTTTAAAACAGCCGTGGGCAAACTACGGCCTACGGGCCGAATACGGCCCGTTTGAAATGAACAAAACTAAAAAAACAAAAAAGACCGTACCCTTTTATGTAATGACGTTTACTCTGAATTTATATTAGTTCACACAAACACTCCATCCATGCTTTTGTTCTGGCCCTCCGGTCCAGTTTAAGAACCCATTGTGGCCCTCGAGTCAAAAACTTTGCCCACCCCTGGTTTAAAAAAAGGTTTTAAAATAATTCTGCCCAGACGTTGCATTTATCCATTCTAACTCAGAAAGAGTTATGGCTAAGTAAATTCTTTCAACATTGAGTTTTAAGCCTAGTAATTATTCAACACAAATATAATTTCTCCCTGTGTTCTCTGTTTCTTAAACAGATAATACAGGAAATCTGGAGTTGGTAAATACTATAGAAGTCTATGTTTATACCTATAAAGGTTCTATTTCAGTCACAAACAAATAAGAATTAGAATAAGACTATGTGATACATACTTCTGTATTCCAAAACACCTACATTAAGAATCCACCCCTCGAATTTCTCACTTCAAAAAATGACTTGGGACAAAACAGGTGGAAAGGAAGCAAAGAAGCAGAATAAAAAATAGGGCACACATGAAAAATGGTTCCCCTTAGAAACAGGGGTCTATGAGGCATTAATTTCTTTTTAGTTCCATTTAGTTATATTTCAGGAGTCAACAACTGAGATACTAATGTAGAAAAACAGCTCATTATTACTAATTATTATAACATCTGTCTTATGGTTACCCAAAACAATGTCATTTCAGATTCTGTGCCTCTTAAATCTTCAGCAATACAGAACATCAGGTTTAAATTTCCAGCACAGGCCTCCTGGCGGATTCTCAGGCCTCCAAATTAGACTGCCGAGTGGACGTGTCTGTCATGGTCTCTAAAGCTCTCTCAGCCCCCCGTGTCCGAACGGCAGCTCATCTACCCCTCCTCCAAACTGCCCCCATTTATGTCTTAGCTATTAGTAGTTCTGAGGTGTTTTTTTAATACGTGTGGATTTTTAGAACTTGCGGACAAGGACCAATTGATTTTGTAGAAAATTATTTGAACTGCAGCCACAAGCTTACCTGTGCCTTGACAGAGGGAGGGGCTGCTATAGCCTCATTTCAATCCACCTGCCTTCAGGTGCCATTTCTTGCATACTGTCCCACAACAGCTGCACCTCATTCCACAGTGCAAATAAACTGGCCTGTTCCCAAACATGGATGCTGATGCCCATAACTCTATGCGAGTCACCACCCATGTCCAGATGCTCTTCTCTCCCCCTCTTTAATAGTTTACCTTTTGCTCTAAAAACCATACCATAACTTATGGTTGTGTCTGTCTTATTCTTGCTATTCGAAAGTTTGATTTCAGTTAAATGCCAGAACCATGTCTCACTGATTTTTCTATTCTATTTAAAAAATATGTTTTTATTGATTTCAGAGAAGAAAGAGAGAGAGAGGGAGATAGAAGCATCAATGATGAAAGAGAACCACTGATCATCTATTTCCTACACACCCACACTGGGGATTGAGACCACAACCCAGGCATGTGCCCTGGTCAGGAACTGAACTGTGACCTACTAGCTCATAAGTCAACGCTCAACCAGTGAGCCATGCCGGCCAGGCCACTTTCTTTTATTCTTAACAGTATCTATACACTGGCTTTACACATTCCCAGCCTTAAACAAATATTTACTGAATTCAACAGCTGAGCTTTTATTATTGAGGAGCATCATTAAAATCAAGTGTCATATTTTGCATTAAAATACTGCAGCTTTCCCCACAGTGCTCTGCTATCCTCAAAACTGTTGTGTCTGCCTATATTATATTAAACGCCTCCTAGTCTCCTCCCGTGATCATATATGTGGTTTCTGGGCCTGCCTCTTTTTGCCCCCGTTTAAGTTGCCAGTTACATTTGACAGTGTGTAGTCCTCTTTTATTCTTGTTCTCTTACTTCTAGTCAACTCTCTTAGATTTTCTACAATAATTCTGATGAGGTCTGATTTTCATATCCCACCAAAGACACTGCTTTTCCTTTACTCTATCACCTCTAAACTACACCTTGTTTCAATGTATCAGAAAGAGTATAAGGGTTAAAGTCTTTTATAAACTATAAGACTAAAGTTATATCTTAACATAAGAGCAAAGTGACAACAAAAACAAATTTATACATATAATTACTATGCGTATAAATATGTTCAAAGCACAAAACCGCTAACCTTTTTTGATTTAAGGGAGGCTGAAATGACAAGACAGAACTCAAGGAAATGGAATATAGCTTTATTTATATAGTAAATTAAAGTTTAATAATATACTAAACAATCTTATAATACCACCCATACCTGATTATAAAAGTTAGACACAATTACCGATGATACTTTGTTATAGGTCTACATTTCTGACAAGTATACTATAAAGAAAGAAATTCCAAATAACAATTAGTCTTTCAGGTGATGATAAAAAACAAACTGAGAACTGAAAATGGTACCTTAGCTGGTTTGGTTCAGTGGATAGAGCATCAGCCCGCAGACTGAAGGGTCCAGGGTTCGATTCTGGCCAAAGACATATAC